CTGGGAAATACAGCCACCATCAATCATTGCCACGCGGTTGTAGATTGCAGAAATAACTGAATGGCTCAATGCAACCTACCACCATAAAAAGACTGGGCGTTCTTATAAGTTGCCTTGTAGATAGGTTGCCTTTATCTCTTTGATAAAAATGTTTGAAATGCCCTGAAAATTGTTGTACGAATGGCTAGAACTAGTAAATTCCTCTTTGTATGCGCAAACACTAGTATTCAAACCGGTGACACAGATTTGCATTGTTGTGACATGGAAACCAGCAGATTTATGTGTGTGTTTGAGACTGTACCTTAGAGACAGGTATTTAGGGAGTGGGATTTGTGTACCCTTCCATATTTTTCCTGCTACAGAAGTAAGTAAACCATTCATAATACAGAACAGAATACACACCTAAAATCTAGTGCATGTTAGGTAAGAAAACCCATGTTATTTTATTGCATGTTAGAAATTATTTTAAACTTTGAATTAGTGAACTTAAAAGAAACTGATGCTTATGAGGCATAGGAGAAACCCTGCCTTCTGTCAAAGAGTTTAGGCACCTGGAAACCTTTTCATGAGCGACAGAAATAAAGAGTATTAGAATGAGAAATGGGTTGCATCAGCAGCTGCAGTTCTGGTGGAAAAGAGTTTTTAACAAGACTTTAGATTTGCTGTTTATTCTGCTTTCCTGTCCTGGCCTCTGTTCATAGCTTTCTGGGGACTTGAGGTTTCTCTGCAAGCCTGAATGGTAACACAAAAGAGGAGCGTGCACTTCTGTCTTAGGCCTCATTCACACTGCTAAGAGCCGGCCTGTACAGATCTGTGCGGCGTGCACGGCCATATTGGGACACTCCCGGGAAGGACAGGTGCTGCACGTGATTGCACACAGCAACCTGTTCTTCTTTATGGGAGTACGCGGCTGGACACTCACCTGAGCTGCACATCCGTGCAGGTGTCTGTACTCGTACGCAGACAGGATGGATCCGCACTGATCTGTACGGGCAGGCTCTTAGCAGTATGAATGAGGCCTTAGAGTGGAACCACTGTTTTTTTTTATCAAGAGGAACTGTAGATAGACTCAGGATTATAATGGTCCAGGACACCAAGGGAGCAGCATTTCCATGACTAATGCTTTCATGTAAGGTGCCTTTCCTGTAACATAGTAGGTAAGGTTGAATAAAGACAGAGGTCCATCCAGTTCAACCTATGTGTGTGTGTGCACGCGCGTGTGTTTGTGTATATACCTGTCTCTAGTAGTTCCCATATCCTTGTATATTTAGTGAATTAAGAAACTCATCTAAGAGTTTCTTGAATCTATCAACACTATCGGCAGATACCGCTGCTTGTGGAAGGGAGTTCCATATTTTTACTACTCTCACAGTAAAAAAAATCCTTTTGTGCAGTCTGATATTATGGGAGAATTATAGGTAACATGACATACACTCATGCCCATAATTAGAGCCGATGTGTGACACTAAAGCTGGCACACGTCAGCTCTATAGATCGAGAACTGAACAACCACATGCCGCTGATCGCTCAGTTCCAGATCTTCTCCCTGCAGAGAGCAGTGACTCTCAGTCACTGCTTTCCGCAGGGATTTCCCCCTCCCCTCTCTGTTCCTCCAGCGCTGACTGACGTTTAGGGTCCATTCACACCACATCACCTCCAGACCAGACCAGACTGTTTCCAGACCCAAAATGCATCCTAATGTATCTCTATGCTATTTATGGCCTCTGTTCCCACCAGCGCAGTCCGTTCGTTGCGTTCGTGCGCGTTCCGGACCGGAGAAAATGTGACATGCAGTATTTTTTCTGCCCGGAACGGACTGCGCTGGTGAGAACTGGAGCCCATAAAATACATTGGGATGCATTTTTAGTGCAGGAGCGAACTGTTCTGGTCCAGACAGAATCCGGACATCATGTGAACAAGCCCTTAGAGAGGCAGAGCCAGCTGTCAACCAGGCAGTGGGCTGGATCCCCAAAATATTGTTGGGATGTTTCCCTGCCACAGTGCAGCAGTTTTTGGTTACAGGAAGACATTAAAAAATGTGACCTTAAAGAGAACGGCCAAAAAAGGTTGTCTTTTAAACTGCCATGGTTGTCTTTTAAACTGCCTCTCATCTATTATCTTGCTGTGCCCTTAATAGAGTTCTTAGTCTAAGCATTTTATTCCTGAAAATGTGGTCCCCATTATTGATTTTGAAAATTGTAATTAAGTCTCCTCTCAAGCAACTCTTTTCTAAGGAGATCAAGTTTAATTTCTAGAGGAGATCTTCATAATTCAGGCCTTCCACCCCCTTTTATTAATTTTGTAGCCCCCCTTCTCTGAACTCTCTCAAGTTCGGGGACTTCTTTCTTGAGGATTGGTAACATTGAACCAGTGATTTATAAAGTGGTGCAATTATATTTTTTATCTGCTGCCAAAATGCCTCTTTTAATGCAGGATAGTATCCTGCTTGCTTTGCTGACTGCTGCTTGGCAATGCCTACTTTTGCTTAGATCTGTGATCTTTGAGGACCCCCAGGTCTTTCTTTGTGTCTGACTTCCCCAGTGGAGCACCCCTTAAGTACTATTTTGCATGCACGTTCTTTGCTCCCATGTGGATAACCTTGCATTTTTTAATATTAAATTGCATTTGTAATTTTGCAGCCCTGGCCTCAATTTTATCTAGGTCCTGTTGAAGTGAATTTATGTCTTGAGAATTAACTGCCTTACACAGTTTAGTGCCATCCTCAAACACCATGATTGAGCTATTTATTCCAATCTCTATGTTGTTGATGAATAAGATAAACAGAATCGGTCACAGGACCGAACCCTGGGGCACTCCACTCACAATCCTGGCCCAATTAGAAACTGAGCCATTTATTACTAATAGGGATGCACCGAAACTAGTAGCGGTATGGGGAAAGGTATCAGAGCATTTGGGTGAGTACTTGTCGTCCAAATACTTGGTATCGGCACAGTGGGAGATTTCCTCTTACCGGCAGTGCCACAAGGGAACATGGAGCTGACTTCCCAGCCAACCAGGAAGCTGGGCAGCGGGTAATGACTCGCTGCCCAGCTCCCTGATTGGCCTGGAAGCCGAGTCCAGGCTGTTTGGCCAGCTCAATGCTGATTGGCCGGGAAGCCGGCTCCATGATGATTGGCTGGGAAGCTGACTTCCTGGCCGATCAGCATCAATCCGGCCAAACAGCATGGAGCCAGGTTCCCAGGCAATCAAGAAGCCAGACGGCAGGTAATGACATGCTGCCTGGCTTCCTGATTGCCCGGGAACCCAGCTCCATGCTAGCGGAATTACCAGCATCGAGCTGGCCAAACAACATGGAGCCAGCTTTCTGGCCAATTAGGAAGACGGACTGCGTGTTGGCTGGGACGCCAAACAGCCGGCTCGATGCTGATTAGCTGGGAAGCTGGCTTCCCGGCCAATCAGCATGGATTGCCCAGGAAGCTGGCTCCATGCTAGCGGAAGTACCGGTATCGGGGCTCGGTATCATCAAGTACCAAAAGATAAATATTGGTACTCATACTCGATGCCGAAAAAACGGTATCGGTGCATCCCTAATTACTACCTTCTGGATTTGTTTGTGTAGACAGTTTTCCACCCATGTACATACAATTTGATCAATACTGATAATTTGTAAATCAATCAACCGTTTGTGGGTTACTGTATCACATGCTTTAGCAAAGTCAAGATACACCACGTCTACTGGTATTATGCCTAAATTACTACTCACTTCCTCCACCTTTTATGTATTTGTGCAAATAGTGTAGGAAAAAACCTAACTGAAGTGAATACACAGATATGTCTGAACTTTCTTTACTTACCTGTAATACTGCCATTGTCTGTTCTGGGGACTCCATGGATGGATGCTTACTGTTGACTGATTCAAAGGATTTCCCTTTTATATGACTCCATAGTACAATGGGTACAGTTTGGCAGGGAGGTTACATATGGCAATGTATAGTATTTTTAGACACTTGCAGTGGCTATCTTTCGACTTAAGACCATGTACACATTGCATGCGATTGAGTAGATCCTTTGTGTGGGGTCACTGGACTGTATTCATCACTGAGACTGGAGAGACACGGGGTACTAACAAATTCAATCACTTTATCTCTGGTACACAAGCAAGTTTAAAAACATCTAGCTAAAAGCCCTTTCAAATTAAATACCCACTTTCTGCAGGTATTAGAGAAAGCATGTATTTCATGTGAACTAGTCATTCATAAGATATTTTAAAGCTAGAAGAACAGTGATTTCCCTATGTCTCCCTCCTCTTGAGTTTATTGCAGTGAGGAGGTAAGTATCAGATCCGAGCACTACTTTTGTGTTTTGATTAATCATTGACCTTGTTTCCAGGCCCACTTTAAGTAGAATTCCAGAATAAAACTTTTTTTGTTTGTTTTGGATAGAGGGGGAAACGTTTGAGCCTCTGCAAGGGTTTTCAATTATTGGCACCAATCACTGATATCTACCACCACCGCAGTTCACAGCGCCATTACTTCAATGTACTTCAATGTTCTTCAAAACCAAATGGGACCTGTTTTTAGTACCAACAAATGTTTTGGGAAGGGATAAATCAATCTAAGCCTGGCTACACACCATAATATTTTATTTGTTTAACCCATGGGCTGAACAAAGAAAATATTAGATTCCACCATCGCTTATGAGCATTTATCGAGGAATCCCCGCTGTTTCCTTCTATTCTGACAGCAGCCATTGGCAGCATATTGGCTGCTGACTCTGTTGATGCAAAGATTTTCACACCAGCTCCTTTGATCAGCTGATCGATGGATGCTGGTCAAAAGGTTGCTGACAGTGGCAGCCAATGTGCACATTTCGGCCAGTTCATCCAGAACCGGACGAAATTCGTATAGTGTATGGCCAGCTTAAGACCAGCAGTATTTCTTTTGTCCCTGTCTACGTTATTATTTGTTATGGATGTATTATATTTAAAGGTTCCATTTAGGAATATACTTATCTTTTTTTGTCTTTGAATTAACCTACAGTGTGATAGCACAAAGCTAGGATGTCGAGCAGAGGTGGGAAAAAGAAGACCACAAAGACCTCAAGGTCAGCAAAGGCTGGGGTCATATTCCCAGTAGGAAGAATGCTGCGTTATATAAAGAAAGGACATCCAAAATACAGGATTGGAGTTGGCGCTCCTGTGTATATGGCTGCTGTCCTGGAGTATCTGACTGGTGAGTATTGCAGGACAATAGTTACTGTTGTCATATATTTGTCTTTCAACTTCCCTTTAAATTCTGACACTTGTTAAGTTTTGTGAGTTGCTTGGTACTTAAAGGGAAGTTGTGTATTAGTATTAAGTAATTTTTTTTAAATTATTGCAACATTTACTTTTGGCAGGTCCTTCGTGTGCTTAGTTTCTTGCTTTTCAACATTTTTATTATCTTTTTCCACATATAGGTTGTTGAATGTTACCTATACTGTAGTGATCACCTGTAAATTGGATTATCTTAAAGTATATCTAAAGGCTGTACACAGGTGTACGCCGCTACTTGCATAAACCCGCACAAGCATAAATACGCCCCTGGACGCAGACCGTTTGCATCCATAGTTTTGATCTTCACTGCAGCAACAATATAGCTTGGTCAAGAATGTGCCCACATGCTGCTAAATGGGCAACTAAGGTGCAAAAACAGCACACTATTGAGTCATCAGTCTTCTCTCTGCTGTCAGTATGTTTACTGACAACTCATTTAGCCTAATTGGCTTCTAGTGTTTCCTTTCCTCTCCCCACCTGAACAGGGTATTATAGGAGACTAATAATTTAAAAAAATTTAATTATTACGCAGGGGATCACACAGGATCCCCTTCCTCAAGCAGTGACATGCCACTGCTTGAAGAAGGGGATCCTGCGGGAACCCGAAAACGGTCGTTGGATTTATGTGATATGTTGCACCTCTTCAATAAATAAGACTTTTCACGTTTTTATTGGAGTGCCGGTGTCCCTGCTTCTATTTGATACATGACGGTTGATCACCGTTGCACCCATTGGATTATCTTTTGGAGTTAAGCGGTCAGGAGTGCAATGGGTTCATGGATTTTGTCTGCTTATATTCCTGACCCAGAGACACAACAGGATGTGAGAGGAAATCTCTCCAAAGCATAGGGAAATCCCCGCTTAGTTGTCACCGGAATAGGCCCCCCTATTGGTGGGTTGCACAGTGTCATCGGTTGCTAGGACACATGCAGCCCCACAGCATCATGGTTATAGTGAGCCTGCCTGTATCCTAGCAATCAGTGACACTGTTCAGCCCAGCTGCAAGAGTTCTATCCACCAATGGCGCTGTGTAACACAGCATCATTCGTTGCCAGGGCACAGGCAGTCCTGGTTGGATCCCTGGCTGGGTTTGGTGAGCGTCTGAGCGAGGCACCTTCAGCTCATCCCTGGACACCAGAACAAGTAGAGACAGAGTTATAGTTAATCTCAATGGTTTGGCATGAACACCAATAAAAACTCGACAAAGGGCTCTAACAATTTCATATTTCATCCTAAACTAAGAAGAAAAACTAAATTGTTGTAGATTCTTTTCAGAAGCTTTTTATACAGTGGTACCTCAGTTCACAAACTTAATTGGTTCCACGATTCTGGTCGAGAACCGAATTGGTCGCGAACCAAATCAAATTTCCACATAAGGTTCAATGTAAATAAGGTTAATCCGCTCTGACCCCTACGAATGTGGTCGCGAACCGATTTTGGTTGCAAACATGGCATGGAGGACAGGAAGGTGGGTGGGGAGGAGGTTATTGTTTGGAGGGAGAGTCCCCCTCCATAAGGACATCGGGGAGATCTCCTTCAGGGGTTTCCTATCTTCTTTGTCTCTTTGCTGCAAGGTCAATTTTGGCAAAAAATCTGTCTAATGTCACTTGTTTTTTCCTGCGCTGCAGAACCCTCCGGAAATGAGAGACCACGTTGTTGTTCATCAGATTCAAGTATGTTTGTCACAGTTATGTTGGGGTAGTGCTTCTCAAAGAAATCCTGGCACTCATTCCATTTTTCCATAATGGATTTTATCACATCACTGCTAACCTCCTCCCGGTCTTCCTCTTCCTCAGTGGAATGCTCCTCAACAAGCACCTTCTGCTTCTCCCTCTGGAGTTCAGCAAGTTCTTGCGTCGTGAGCTCCTCCTTATGATCCTCAACAAGCTCCAGACCCGTAGTCTTGCCCATGGACACAATCTCCTCCACTACCTATGCATCAGACTCTTCTGTGTCACTGAACGTGACACATTCTGGCCAGTTTCCTCCAGGCTCAGTTCAAGGTCTGGTACGTGACATCTTCCCACGCTTTGTCAATGAGGTTGATGCAGTGGAGGACATTGAAATGTTTCTTACAGATCCCTTTCAGAGTCAAGGAAGTCTCTTTTATGAAGTCATACTCAGTGTTCATATCATCCACCAAGGCTGGAGGGTGTGCCAGGCCATTGTCCATCAGAAGAAGGCACCTTTCAGGCAGTTGGCTGTCAGAAAGATATTTTTTCACGGTGGGTGCGAACACCTCGTGCAGCCATTCCATGAACAATTGCCTTGTGACCCAAGCTTTCGCATTGCCCTCCACATGACAGGCAGTCTGGCCTTGTTCACATTCTGTTCCTTGAATGCACGAGGGGTCTGGGAATGGTACACCAGTAGTGGCTTAATCTTTAGATTGGCGCTTGCGTTTGCACACAGCAAAAGGGTCAATCTGTCCTTCATGGGCTTGAGCCCCGGCACTGCCTTTTCCTACTGCGTGATATAGGTTCTGTTCAGCAGCTTATTCCAAAAGAGCCCTGTTTCATCACAGTCGAACACTTGTTGAGTGACGTATCCTTCTGCCTTCATCAATTCCGCAAAGTCTTTCTTGTAGGCTTCTGCAGCGGCCTTGTCAGAACTGGAAGCCTCACCATGTCTTATCACACTGTGGATGCCACTTCTCTTGTGGAATTTATCAAGTCACCCTCTACTGGCTTTAAATTTATTTATCACTAGATGAACTTGTAGAGGGGTTTTGTTGCAGTAAATCACTGTGAAATTTCCTGGCTTTTTCACAGATCATAGCTTCACTAACACTATCTTCACTAAACAGCTTGCCTGCTGTTTCTCATTCAACCACACTAAAAAAAGTTTTTCCACCTCTTCCAGTACTTGTGTCCTCTGCTTGGTTAACATGGTTACTCCTTTTGCCACATCAGCTGCTTTGATGGCATCTTTATACTTCAAAATAGTCGAGATGGTCAACTTTGCCATCTTGTACTCCGAGGCCAGATCAGTCACAGGAATACCACAATCATGCTTTTCTACAATTACCTTCTTCAATTCAATGATTATTTTCTTCAAAACCTTCTTGTTACCATTCTTGCTCTACCTTCATTATTGCGCTGCACTTTCTTTTTACCACCATTCTTGCTCTGCACATTCTTGTCACCTTCATTAACGCTCTGCACGTTCTTGTCACCTTCATTAACGATCTGCACGTTCCTGTCACCTTCATTAATGCTCTGCACGTTCTTGTCACCTTCATTAATGCTCTGCACATTGTCATCTTCATTACCGCTCTGCACTTTCTTTTCCCACCATGCTTGCTCTGCACTTTCTTGGGAGCCATGCTGGATTGAATAATGTAATACTGTACAGTACTGTGCTAAAAAGCACACAAAAAAGCTTTGCAGTAAGTGTGCACAGCTATGTCTGCGACTGCGATCTCGAGTATAGGAAGCCACGACCACGTTTCAGAGTGGCGAAGATGGCCACGGTCGTGTTCATCACCGGATGCAGAGTTCGCGAACGGTGGCAACATTTTGCCGAACTTCCTGTTTGCAAACTGAATTGTTCGCGAACAGAAGCGCTCGTGAACCGAGGTACCACTGGAATTGCATTAATTTTCCTTTACTTACAGTTATAGTTGCAAGACCTGATGGAGTTTAGTATTCAACATATGTCTAGCCATTCCGCCTGTTTAGCAAAGTAGTGAGAGGAACTTCCTATCATGTGAATGGAATGTCTTAAGCTGGTCATACACCTATAGATTATCTGCAGATTTTCTATGGTCAGATGGAAAAAGTGCAACAGATCCCTGAATACCAGAACAATCTGATTGGATGCAGGCATTATTCAGGTATTTTGACAGCCAGCGGGGCTGACTAGCAAGATACTAAAGCTTGGCCCAGTGGGAGATTCCTCCATCCACACAGTTCAGCATAGATGGAGGAATCTGTTGCACTTTTTCCATCTAACCATAGACAGTCTGTAGGTAAGCTGGCCATACATCAATAGATTAACTGGCAACCAAATGGGATGATGTTCTCATAAGAGTGAGATCAGCCTTATGATCACACATTACAATCTGATTGTACAATCTCCTTTAGATCTACCAACAACTATGTAGTGCAATAGCCTGCCTGACTGGATACAAATCGATTGGTTAGACTAGGCAGGTCCTCATACTACATAGATTTGGTAGATCTAAAGTTGATTGTATGGTCAGATTATAAGGTGTGTGGTGACCATAAGGGATTTTTTTTTTTTAACCTACTATATTTTGCCCGTGCCTATTGGCCCAACTGCTAGCAAACTTTATACATCCTTAAAGTGATTCTTTACTGAGTTAAGTGGAACTACACCCTTCTATCCTTTACAGCCAAGTAAGGTGACATCTTAGCCTCTATTTGGTTGCAGTTGCCATAGTGCCGCATATGTGATTAGCTGTGACACCAGCAATTTGAGGGCTTGAAGATGTGGTTGAGAGTTGAAATACGCATGCTTGCATCCTTGGCAGTTGGCATGCCTTGGAAGTAATTGTTTTGGGGGACAGTTAAATTGGTGGACCCAGTTCTGCTTTGGGAAAGTAATGGTGCATTTTGGATGCAGCCACACTGAGTTAGCTTTACATAGCTTTCCAGCATTATCCGGCTGCCTGATCTGCTGCTGCAGGACCCTTAAATTTCTTTGCTAGTTTCAACTTGCTATAACTCAAATTTTCTCAGGGCTAAGCAAGCTCCGCTGTGTGTGACTCCCCTCAGATGTGGCAATTGATTGGTAAGGCACTGAGTGGTGAATGTAAACATGTTCACCCATACACATGCATTCGTTTTGTTTGTTATTTTTTAATCAGGACTCCAGCTGCAGATTAAGTGGTAAAGAAATGCTGAAAGGTACGGGCAGGCAATGACTTAACTGTGAGATGTGACACTGTACACATTATTTTTTTATTTCTTTTTAAAAAGCATACAACTAAAAAACCAACATACAGCATACGCTTTAACCAGCAAAACCATAAATACCATTCATAGCTAGCATATTAGCCATTATCTGTGCAAAGATTATTTTAACATCACACATGTATATTATAGTTTAGTGTTTGATTCTTTCTAGCTAAATGTTTTTTTTATGAATAAACACATAATTTTTATATTGCAGCTGAGATTCTTGAACTGGCTGGAAATGCAGCTAGAGATAACAAAAAAGGGAGAGTCACCCCCAGACATATTCTGCTGGCTATAGCCAATGATGAAGAATTAAATCAGGTAGGGAATCTTGTATGTTTGTATGTTATTCTGTTGACTAAGCAATTGGATGTGATCCACAATTAGTATATACTATATATGCTTAAATGTTTTATAACTTAGCCAAAGACTATTGGATGCATAGTTATTAAAATGACTAAATAATGTGCCATATTTAGATACAAATAATTATTTTATTTCTTTTTCCGGCCATTGAGGGACACATTCTCTTATTCTTGAACTCTCAGACCATACTGTTGCCTTCAGGAGAAATGGACACTGGCAACAAAAATAAAACATTGGACAGCACAGGATAACCCCACCCCCAACCATTAGCATCAGTTATTTGCTAGTATCCTCATGAGAATAGACGTGTTTTCTTCAGTTCTGCTGGTCTCTGTTCCTTTGGAAGATTTTCTATCAACAGCTGCTGGTAGTTTCATACTGGACTTATTAAATCTTGGAAGTTTCTCTAGTCAGACAATGCGTGATGGCAGATTCATGCTGGATACTGAAAATCTTTAAAGTGGACCTTTACTCCCTTTCATTAAAAATCTCATCAGCATACAGATCTGCATGCTGATATAAAATAATTTTTTACAGAAATATCTTTTTATTAAAGTTTTTCCACAAAGGAGTTTGTAGAAACATACAAAAAAGATGGGAGGAACAAACCACCCATACAAAGGCAGCAATAATTGAGCATCATGGAGAATAGTAGCATGGCTAAAATGAATACCATCCTTAAACATGTAAGGTTGCCCTTGAGTGAGACGTACCCCATCTAGTTACCTATCCCTGTCCTGGGGGAATCGGGTGTGAGGGTCCATTCTGGGTGGGACCAATTCGCCTGTGATGGGCGAGGCTCAGAGCCTCCAGCAGCCACCTAGAAGCTGATATAAAATTATATTACATTCATTAGTTAAATAAACATGTTTTTCATTTACATACAATTTCCTGGTCCTCTTTTGGCACAAACTATGTAATGTGCCCAAGCAATGCATGCTGGGAAGGTTACATCAGCAGAGCATTACTAGGAAATCTCATCTGTAATCTCATGAGATCTCACCTCCCCTGAGATGATGTGCATGGTCACATGTGCCAGAGTTCCAGGAAGTAAAGGGATATCTAGTAACCTGCCCTTAGTTAAAAAAGTCACTGTGAGAAGAATGGGGAAGAAAAGATTAATAACGTTTGTAGATGGTCATTACTAAACATTTCTAAAGGTATCTTTGTTGTTATTTTAAAGATATGGAGTAAAGTTCTTCTTTAAATCTCCCCATTCAGCCAATGAGCACAGGTTTGGAAGTTTCTACAGTCATCTACAGCTATGGTCGGCAATCGGCAAGGACTACCTGTCTGTGTTCCAGTTCACACAGGAGTCTGCTATTCAGGTCATCCCAGTGTGTCTGGGTATTTCCTATGAAATAGCTGTCCAGTCGGTCAAGAGCTGAGGCAGTTTTCCTCTTCCTGTCTCTGCAACTCACTGTTTTGAGTATTTAGCAGGCTTATGCTGAGTTATGGTTCCTCTCTTTGGTGCTGCGGGTACTTTCAACAGAAACAACTGGCCATTTTGTGGGGAGTAGACTTTTGCTTTTGTTTTGGGCTTGCATATACTTTATGTACTTTGCAAGTTGGCCACTTGGGGTAGGCTTCCTCACTATTTCTGTTTTGGGTTTTACTAGGGGAAATGTTACTGTTTTTCCAATTTTCCTGCCCCCACCTGATGCAGCTCTAATTCAGGAGCGAGTGCACATGAGCAGAAGTGGGTGGATTCGAACGCACCTTTCACAGAGTTCCTAACTACAGTCCAAAATCAATCCAGCACTACAGTCCATTTGGATGTGCTTTATGGATCTATGCATGCTACTGTAGACAGGTTGACTGTGAAGCATATTCAGGCTTTTTCTAGTCTTCAGAGACTGGACTACACTTATTACTACCATCACCAAGTTGATGCCATACAGCACAGCTTCTCCATGCTTTAGAGAGCAGAGGCACTATGCTAATGCACACCACAGTCGAAGCAACTGGCTACAAAGGCTCCAGTGGATTCTTTGTGAAGTTGTTCCTAGGCACCACCTAAACTGATGCATATGTTGCTCTGGTGTTCTCAACATAATACTTTCCTTTCGAGCATTATCTGTGCCACTAGGTATTTTTAGAAGGCATGGTACTTTCCAAGCCTTGTTACAGGCCAACACATTGCCTTTGTAGTAGGGGTCAACTGATATCGATTTTTCAGAACAGATACTGATTGGCCACCTTTAAAGCCGATAACAGATATCAGGTATCGATATTATGTTTACATCCAGCTGAATGTAAACAGCAGGCAGTCGCCTGATATCAGCCAACCCCTGCCCCATTCATCTGCCAGCAGCAGGATTCAACAGCCGGCAGCTGCATGTAAACAGCGGGCAGTACAATAGCCAGCCTGTTATTGGATATTTCAAATTGCAATAGCCATTAGCAGGCTGGGCATTAAACCCTCCCACTGCCTGCTGTTAATCAGCAGAGGTGCGGACCTGAAGGAGAAAGTTCTTCTTTAGGTCGGCTCCTCTGCTGAGCAATCTGCAGTGGCTGGAAGCAATAGAAAACCAGCTATTGGCTATTTCAAATTGCAATAGCCAATAACAGGCTGGCTACTGCACCAGCCCACTGCCTGCTGTCAATCAGCAGACGATGCATTGATACCGATAATCAGGCATCCGATTAGCCGGGAAGCCGCCTCCATGCTCCCTCGTCACCTGGTGACGTGGGAGCATGGAGGTGGTTTCCCGGGCCAATGAGGAAGCCAGGTGCCTTGTAATGACTCACCCAGCTTCCTGATTGGTCGAGACGCTGGCCAATCAGGAAGCCAGGCAGCAAGTCATCACCCGCCCCTGATTGGCCAGAATGCTGGCTCCATGCATCCTCATCACCCGGTGACGAGGGCGCATGGAGATGGCTTTTTGGCTAATAAGATGCCTGTGTAATGACTTGCTAATTACACACTGGGTAATGACTTGCTAATTACGCCGCCTGGCTAATCAGATCCCTCTGTAAATCCATTATTGTACATGGATTCTGTGTCCTCTCTGAAGGAAGAATTGTGCTGACTGATTTGGGCCTGCAGTTTTCACGTCCAAATCAGAGGATTTATTTTCCTGTTTACTGCAGTGGTCAGTGCTACCTTTGAATAAGTGAAATAACGGCTCTTTCTAGGGTTGTTCTACCCCTAAGCATATCACAAACTCTTCGCTTTCTCCAGTGGCTTCATTATGAAATTTGGAAACAGCCTGCTTGTGTTTATTCTTTGCCAAACTATGGCGGTTTTGCTATCACATGGTTTTCATGCTTTTACACATGTGTGGGCATCCTTGGTTAAGGTGACATTTTTGTATAAGAGGCATTTGTTTTGCATGGTCTTCAAGGGAAAACATTTCTTCAAATTGATTCTAGATAATATACAGTATATCTAGGACGCGAACCGCGGCAAAAGCACACAACTTGCTCAGTAAAAGAAATCTATGGCATTGACTAAGTCTTCTTCTCTGACTGTTAAAAAAACATTTGTTTTCTTCAGTTCCTCATTGAGACCTGCTAAACGCCTGGTTCCCTGTCTGCCTGCAAGTTCTGGAATTCAAAATCTGTCATTCCTCAGACAAGCCTTCCTCTGCTTTAAGGTGCAGAGTTGGGGGACAATTGTTAAGCATTGTGGATGCATGGACAGCTTGCATGAAGGTGGTATTCCAGTGCTACAAACTGGAGTTTCACTCCTTGCCCACTCCTGCGTTTCTCACCTCCAAATGTTCTGTGTCACCACACAGATTACCAGATCTCCACTGAGCACTTTTGGGATCAAGGTGTCATTGCCCCAGTTCTTGTGGCAAACCGGTTTCAGGGCTTTTACTCCAACTTGTTCATCATTACCATACCTAAAAGAAGCATTCACACCAGATTGGATCTTTGTTCTGATTGTCATTCCTTTTCTTCACCAGGGAGACATGCTAACTTCTGTGGACATCAAGGACACTGTACTTGCTTGTCCCCATCTTTCTGGCATATCTAAGTTTCCTACTCTTACACTACACATTTTGCTGTAAGGTGACTACACTACCAGTTTGTGGCCCTGCTCTTTGGCCTCTCATCTCGTCCTTTAGTATTCACCATGTTCTTACCCTAGTATTGGCTCTGCTGCACTCTGGTGGCATTCCTGTTGTGGGATACTTGAATGACCTCCTGTTCAAAGAGCAGTCAGCATGAGTTTAGTCAGGCAACATGATTTTGACTAAAAGTTGCAATGGTTCAGGTGGATCCTGAACCTTCAGAGGTCATTGCTGGACTCATAATTTTGGAGTAGCTGGGTCTAGTCCTGGATACAACTTAGACAAGAGTGTTCCATCCTCCAAAACTTCACACTCTCCAGTCGCCAAATGTTGTGCTCTTGCATGTCCTAGACCTGATGACAACCTCCTTTGAGATGGTTACATTTGCCCAGTTTTACTCCTAACGTTTTTAAATTCAACATTCTGTAATCTTGGGTCAAGGCTATCTGGTCCCTAAACAGATCGATTTGTTTGGCATCAAGGACCAACTTGCCCCTTGCTTGGTGGCTCAGGAATCTGGGTAAGTCCTTCCTTCCATCTTTTGGAGGATACTTACAATGGATGACAGCCTGCCAGGCTAGGCAGGGATCTTAGGGACCTTGTTGGTGCAGGGGACTTGGTCGTCGGAGGAATCTGGTTTCCCTATTAGCATCCTGGTCCAGACAGGATCTAGGTGAAGGGCATTCCTGTGATCCTCATTGCTCCAGACCGGTTCAGGCAGATGTGGTATGCTGGCCTGGTAAAGACTCCTGGCAGATACTTTGTGGGTACTGCCTGATAGGATTTTCTGTCCCAAGGGTCGATTTGCCATCCTAATTTACAGTCACTGACTATAACTGCATTGCTGTTAAGTGTCAAGTTAAGTGTCTAAACTGGCAAGGTAAGTGTCTCAACTGGGGACCGTAACCTGCAAGAACCCTTTCTGGTTTTGCATAGGGACAAGGTGGTGTTGAGGCCGAGGACTTTTGGGCTAAGGTAGTTTGTCTTTCACCTCAACTAGGACACTGTTCTCTTGTCCCTCTATTTGGCTCCAGGCCACCAAAAAGAAAATTCCCTCAATTGCGTGGATGTGTTTCGACAGGTGAGAGTCAGCCACTGCTTCTTTCAGGAGGTTTGTTGTACTTTTGTAATCTCAGGTGCTTCTCAATCTAAAATCTCTAGGTGACTCAGACAGACCATGATTCAAATGTTTATACTAATCTGTGTGTATGATTTCCAGCTGAACACTAGAGTGCGCTGTGGTAACACTTTTCACCGTTAGCTTTGCCTTTTTATAATTTTTAGGCGGTGTGGTTATTTTTTCTTCAAATACTTTTACGTTTTCTATCAATAAAAGTTTGGTCCCCATTGTAAAAATCAACTATTGTTGACAGCCTAGATGCAGATTTTCTTCTGAACATAATTAGTTATGCTAATAAATGACATGTCATACAGTAAATTAACAATGTTTTTTTCTGTGCTGTTTATAAGGCAATACAAATATATATATATTATCCTTCAGGATTTTTTGGTAGAGAGCCGAATTCATGGTTCTATTTATCACAGCAAGTCTTCCAGGCCCTGAGGCAGCAAAACAGCCCCAGACCTTCACACTACCACCACTATATTTTACTGTTGGTATGATATTCTTTTTCTGAAATGCGGTGTTACTCTTATGCCAGATGTAATGGGACACACACCTTCCAAAAAGTTCAACTTTTGTCTTACACTACTACACTACTTTACACTATCATTACATATGTGAAGGTAAAACAGTTATCAGAAAACAATATTTTTTATGACTGCTAGTTAGATTACAAGCCTCTTCAACCTACACATGTATATGTTGGGGCTTGTATTCAGTGGGGTCTGATAGAGTGTTTGTAGTCATCGGAGTGTACCAAGCATCATGCTAAACATTTACACCAGAGACGTAGATCTATTTGGTGAACATGGGCAAGATTTGGCGTAGTGCAATCACTATACGCTATACTGAGTTTTATCCAGATGGCTCAAGGTATGTTATATGACACTTTTGATAATGGATCCTTTGAGAAATAAGGGTAAAGATAATGCACACACCAGCAACCACCCCAGTCCCTCACATACAGACTGCAGAGGCAGATAGCTGAGATGTAGCAACAGGACAGAGAAAAAACTTAAAGTGACATTAAACCCTCAGATTTTTTTACATAAACCAATACTGTAATGTGTGCCTTACTGTAATCCATGGTTGTTTCCCTTCTCTTTGCTGCTCTTCCTTTTAAATCCTTATCTCTTCTCATGCTGGGGGAGAACTTCCCTTTGCAGCTGAGTGCCTCTTCCTGTAGTGCTGGCTCAGGTTGTGAACCTTCACACAGACACCATGTATCCATTCCAGAGACAAGGCAGCCTGCTGCAAAACAGAAGTTCTGCCCAGCATGAGAAGAGATACAGATTTAAAAGGAAGAGCAGCAAAGAGAAGGGAAACAACCATGGATTACAGTAAGGCACATATTACAGTATTGTTTTATGTTAAAAAATCTGAGGGTTTAATGTCACTTTAAGGACACAAAGCTTATAAAGGCAAATGTTTCCTATCCTAATTTTACTGGTAGATACAACTGCTATAAATGTCTATATAAAATGACCTACATATAAAAGTCTGTAGCAAACAATCCCTTCATTTTAGAGGAACAACAGAAGAAACAGGAGATCTTTTGGATAAGATGAGTTTTATTCTGTAGCTGCAGTAAAGGTTCTTTCCTAAAAGGATTACTTCTTTCAAACAAATATATCTGTCTTGATTCAGGAGGGAATGCTTTTTGAAGATGTAAATAGTGATAATAAGAATTAAATTATCATTTGTGTTTAACATCGAACTTGATGGATATGTTCTCTTTTTAGCCTGAGTAACAGTGCAGCTGATTTAGTAAAAGGATATATACTGTTCACTGTGCACAGTGAATGTTCACTGAGCTTTGTAAATAAGATGAAACTGCGTACAAATCACTCAGCCAGTCATGTGCTAGCAAAAATCCTTTATATAATATCTGTTGCACATAACTGATTATTTAAAATTAACAAAAGGTTCACCTTATTTGCTCTAATTTATGGGGCAAAGTAAACACACACTTTTCAAAGTGAACAGTCTCTAATCCTTTAGTAGATCAACTCATACATGTTCATAATAATATTTGATCATGCATTACCTAAATCTAAATATAGGATTTTTTTCATATGTTGTGTTCTTAGCTATTAAAAGGTGTAACCATTGCCAGCGGTGGTGTGTTACCAAATATTCATCCTGAGCTGTTGGCAAAGAAGCGTGGAACCAAAGGAAAGCTGGAGGCTATTATTACACCCCCACCTGCAAAGACAGCCAAAACCACATCACCAAAAAAATCAGCTTCAAAGAAGCCAGGTGCCAAAAAAGGAGTAAGAAAATCTAAGGTATGCAACCACCACTGATCATATACTGGTATTACTGAGAACATGTCTGGGTCAAATTGTTTTTGATCCTGTATAGGTTGTACATGAAATCCTCAACATGCAGCACCAGTTCTGCACGATTCACTGAACTTTATGAAAATAGATATATACCAGTGCTATATTTGCTGACACATATAAAAACTGGTCTAGTAGTTAAAAAAGTAGCCCTGAATTTAATAGTCATTTTATTCAAAATAATGTTAAAAAATAAAATATTTTTCTGTATGGTAATTTAAAATATTTGTTTGTACCGTTTAACCAGTTGACATCCGCGGTGTTAAACCCCCTTCCCATCCAGGCCATTTTTCAGTATTCAGCGCTGCGGTACTTTGACTGATATTTATTCCGTCATGCAGCGCTGTAATGAAATGAATTGTATACCCTAAAATGATTGCTCTCACTGCGACGTTCGCGGCGATATGTAACATGTGTAGCGCAATTGTAATTTTTGCGCGCTGGGGCACCGGACGCGTATTTACGTTTATAGGCGCGTAAACGTGGGGGTGGGGGAGTTAAACATTTTGGGGGGGTTTTTTCCCCTTTTTTTATATGTGACTTTTATTTTATTTTACTTTTTTATGTGTTACTTTTATTTTTTTTTATTTATATTATTTTTTTTGCACTTATTGTTATTGCTATTATATAGGGGGATAACAATCCCCCTATATAATAGCAAAGGCACACTGACAGGTCCTCTTTATGGAGACATTAGGGGTCTCTAGGACCCCTAATGTCACCTGTGGACCCCAAAAGAAGCTGATGAAGCAGAGATCTGCTTCATCAGCTTCTTTTCTCTGGCTATAGCAGCCAGATGACTGACAGGTGAATGCGGAAGTGATGTAATACACATCACTTCTGCATTCACAGCCCGGAGGGAGACAGCAAGGAGCTGATCTCTCTCCCTCTTCCTCCTGACGCCCTCCGAGCCGGTCCCGGGCCGCACATGGGGCAGCGGATCCCGGGATTGCAGGTGAGGTGTCAGGGGGGGGCAAAAAACCGGCGGCGGCCGCGCGGGGGTCGAAAAACGAGCACATATAGACGATCGGCTGGTGTTTGTATTGGTCGCGTCTTTGCTGCCGTGCGTGCCCGCTAGGGGGCGCGCGCAAGCAGAAAAAAAATGCCGTCTGGCGATGGCAACCCGCCAATGCAGCAGTGCCGTCCGTCCGTTTTTTTACAACGGGCGGACGGCAAGCGGATAAAGCAGGGGTCTTAAATTTAATGCATTTGGGGGCCACTCGACAAATGTATTTCTCCCATGGGGCCACTTGCCAAACATCATACTTCAAAATTAAAGTTAATTATATCCAGTTTGGTACTACGGACACCAATACACACACAATAAGGCCCTATTCACACCTGTAATTTTAGGTGTGATTAGGGATTCCTGCGTCAGGAACTTGCATTTTCCTGCAGCAGGAATCCCTAATCTGGCGTTTACAAGCGGCCGCTGTCACCCATTCAAGTTAATGATCAGGTGACAGCAGCTCCATGTAAACGCCTGCACACCGCATGTATTGTATGTGATATGATTACATGCAGTTAGAAAACACTCTCCCTGGTTGCACAATCAATGCGTCCAGGGAGAGTGAATGATTCCTAACCACATGTAATTATATCACATATCATTACATGCGGTATGCCGGTGACAGTTGCCGCTTGTAAATGCCAGATTAGGCATTCCTGCTGCAGGAAATTAGCAAGTTCCTGACGCAGGTGCACTAATTGCACCTAAACTTACAGGTGTGAATAGAGCCTAATAGGGCCCCCCCCCCCATACACCTAAAAAAAACTACCCCTGTACATTAGAGCTGCAGCTAACGATTATTTTCAAAATCGATTAGTTAGCCGATTACATTGTGTGTAAGCGTGTGTATGAGTCCCTGTGTGATCTTGTTCTTAAGGGTACCTGTACCTGTCTCATAGCTTTGGTCCTCCATCCCCTTAATTAGTTTGGTTGCCCTTCTCTGGACTCTTCCCAGCTCAAGGACATTCTTCATGTGGATTGGTGACCAAAACAGGACCGCATATTCCAGATGAGGCCGAACCAGCGATCTATAAAGTGGAAAAATTATAGACTTGTCTCTACAGAACATTCCCTTTTTAATACAAGACAGTACTCTGCTCGCTTTGTTTACCGCAGCCTGGCATTGCAAGCTATTATTCATTGCTTTACATTTATCAACATTAAACCTCATCTGCCATATAGTTACCCACTCCCCTACTTTCTTCCAGGTCCTCCTTTAATGTTATATTGTCTAAGTCCGTGTCTATTACCCACCCGATTTTAGTATCATCAGCAAACACGGAAACATGGCTATTCACGCCCTCCCCGATATCGTTAATAAACAGGTTGAATAGCATGGGGCCTAGCACAGATCCCTGTGGTACGATACCTGGGGTACGCCGCTCATGGCCCTGGACCAATCTGAAAAGAAACCATTTATCGATACTCTCTGGATACATTTCTGTAGCCAGTTTTCTATCCATGTACACACCATTTCATCTATGCCCATAGAACTCACCTTGTTTATGTGGTACTGTCTCAAACGCTTTTGAAAAATCTAGATATACCACATCCACCGGCCTCCCTCCATCCAGATCTCTAATTATCTCTTCGTAGAATGTTAGTAGGTTGGTCTGGCAGGAACGGTCCTTCCTAAATCCATGCTGATTATCATTTACTATACAATTATCATGAACAAACTCTACTAAGTAGTCCTTAATCATTCCCTCTAACAGCTTGCATACTATGGATGTAAGACTGACTGGTCTGTAGTTCCCAGTTTGGCATCTTGACCCCCCTTTTGAATATCAGTACTACCGTAGCCTTCCGCCAGTCACTTGGTACTCTACCAGTCATTGAGTCCTTCAAAATGAGGAATAATTGTCTTGCTATAACCTAGCTGAGTTCTTTAAGTACCTTGGGGTGCAGGTTGTCTGAAAAGGGTTTGCCTGGATCTGGGTTGTAGATGCCACACCCCTATGACAAGGAGTATCAAAAAGGAAAAGAGAAAGTTGGTGTTTTTTAGGCATAAAATGACAACTCCAAAGAAACAGTGGACCATAAAAAAATCGAGTTTTAATGTTGGTAGTAGTTTTAAAAAAGAGCTAGTATATAGCATAAAAATGAACAGCTGATTAGATTGCTCCCTATGTGCTCACTCCATTCAACTTTCCATTAAAGATGTACATAGTAAACATTTGGTCAAGGCAATGCACAATAAACGAAGGAAAAGAGGTATAGACTAATGAGGTAAGATTTTAGCAGTGAAGCATCACACAGTACATAGTAGAATATGGTATGGTTGATAGTAGAGGAGCGGTTACTCAACGTTTCGCGTACACAGGCGCTTCTTCAGGAGAAGGGAACATCTGCATAGTTTAAAAAGAGTATAATGATCAACATGATTCATATAATCGTAGTTCTCTTTTCCTTTTTGATACTCCTTGGGGTGCAGGTTATCTGGCCCTAACGCTTTATTTGCATTAAGTTTTTCAAGTCTATGTTGAATCCCCAGCTTCCGTCAACCACTGTGGTATATTTTGCAATGAGCTATGTGTATTCTGATCTACATTAACCCTTTCGCTGCCAAGGACGTACGGCATACGGAGCTACAAAAGTGCTTCTGGCTGGCCAGCTCAGTATGCCGTACGGACCTGGCATTTACAGTTCTACTATAAGCTCATGGTCGCTATAGTAGAACTGTTCCTGGACTGTCCCCTTCAAATTAATAGCTGTCATCAGCGTCTCTCAAGCCACTGATGACTGCTATCATCAAAAAGCACCGCTGCTGCCGGCTGCCGGCATCTGCAGTCTCTCATCCCTCCCTGGAGCCACCCCAGGGAGGGATGAGAGACTCCATGGATCCCCGCTGCTTGTAGGATCTGTGGCAGCGGGGGTCCGCAAAAAAATCACCGGCGGGGGGGGGGGGGGG